ACATTTTTGTTACCATTTCAGCTGAAGGAGTGGGCTATAATTTGCAAACTTTGAGGAATTATTATCCAGCTGTGTTTTAGTTCATGTTCAGAAAAGAAGGGATTGTGTTTATATATAGAAGTCTTTACGTAATTAATGTTAATTTGCACATGTTAATGAAGATGATTATTAGCAAAGCATTGTACTTTTGTTCCTGCTGCTTTTGACAGATAAGTTGAATAACGTTCTGCTGTAATCAATGCACTATAATTCGTTCCTATTTTTTCTAAGCATTAAGAACTATTTTACTAGAGGGATTTTAATGAAGGCAAGGCATGATGATGGACTCTTAAATGGGCTTTATTTGCCAAATAGCTTAATGTGTTTTATCTTACATATTGTTAGTGCTCTGTAAAATAACATTAAACATGACTTTCTGCTAATGAGTCACAGTGAAAAATGACAGGCATCTTTTTGGACTGAAATAAGTTCATAGCGAAATATTCAGTAAGAATGACCCAAACTTAATGGGTTCACAACTTCTAAAGCCTTTCCTACTTTCTGCATCAAGATAATAATACCTTCTTCTTTTGGGAGAACACAGGAGTGCACATGAATAGTTAGGAGGGAAGAAGGGGCTGATATTGTCCATCTCATACACCTGCTACAAGTTATGGGTTTTCTACTCCGCATACACTAGTAGTGTATAGATATATATCACTAGACAGAAGTGATACGCTGACACTAAGCAACAAACTTGGGGCTTTGAGGAACCTGGTCTGGTGGGAGGTGTCCCTTCCCATGGCAGGGGGGTTGGACTGATGATGATGATCTTTAAGGTCCCTTTCAGCCCAAACCATTCTATGGTTCTGTGATACCTTACTTTGTTACAAGATGGTATTTCAGTTAGCATTAATTAAATAACTACAAGCCAACAAACAAAACACTTGAATCGCTGTCCTTGTAAAACGCACTTGCTGGAAGTTGACTCTCTGCTTTCATTCACAGGAGGAAACTGAGTGTCCTTCATCTCTCTCTGTTATCAAAGAGAGAACAGCCGGTGAAACTCTGGAGGATGATTTCTTCCCACCTGATGATCTGTCTTCTGATGAAGAATATTATATTGAAGAAAGCAAAGCAGCCCAGTTCAGGAAATCAGGCATGAGGCGCATAGATGATATCAGAAAGGCCTTTTCAAGGGAAAATATCCAAAAGACGAGACAAAATTTTGGCAAGAAGGTAAACAGGCTTCGAACTAGAATAGTGACCCCTGAGAGGAGAGAGAGGATCAGGCAGTCAGGAGAAAGACTGAGACAATCTGGGATGAGGTTCAAGAAAAGCATTTCACAAGCTGCCCCAACAAAGGAAACGTTTAAGATCTATAAAAAGAATAAGGAGCGAACAGGAGCCGAAGGTGAGGAGGGGATCCAGGAAGCTGGTGTGCACATTGCCACGGAGCTCGCGTCAGCAGAGCCCTTCACTGAAGAAATCTCTTACACAGAAGTGATCACTAAGGTAAAGAAAGACAAGAATGGTGCAACAAAAGGTGCTTCCCAGTCAACTGAAAAAGGAGTGTCAATCCCAGAAATCACTTTTAAGCAGGAAGGAAAAGAAGGAGGAGGAGGAGGAAGTGATGATGTCCCTTTGCTAGACTTAAAGCAATCTGCATAAGGAATCAATTAGCAAACACACCACACTATCCTCACTGAATGAGAGGTAACACAGTATGGTATTCACTCAGCTTTAGAAAAATGTGTGAATTTGTATTCAATCACAAAACATGTGTTGGTGGTGTTCTGCCATTTACGTGGGTGTCTGTAGTGTCATCTTCCTGACAAAAGCCAAGCCATGCAAACAGAATGAAGGGGCTCCCCCTCTGTCTTGCAGTGTGTCCATAGCCATCGTGAAGCCAAATGGAACTCGTATGTCAAAGGGAGCTGGAAATCTGCTGTATTTTCAGGATTGATTTAGCAGTCACTTTATAGTCTAATCACTCTCTTTAGTTTTATGTACAACAGCGTAAAAACATTTTTCCATTATCTTATACCAACTCCTCTAATCAGAAAACAAGAACAAAGCTTTTACTTCATATTAGCAAGAGGAAGAACTATGGAAAATGTTCATTCAGCAATACAAAACTTTTCATTTAAGGGCCCTCACTGAAACAGCAGAAAGAGGAAATTCCTGCTTTATTCAGGGTGTGACAAAATGTGGCAGGAGTTATAGGGTTTTGAGTAAACTGTGCTTCTTCTCAATGGAGAAGGAAAGCTCCTGAAATGATTAAAGATTATTTCCAGAGTTCTGGAAGAGGAAGGATTAATGTATGTAAGCAATGAATTTTCTGCACTTATGGAGTAAGTATAAAAAAGCAGAAGACACATTATGGAATAGCAGGAGGAAAAGAGATTGAGGTATCGTGTTCATGTTATGAAAAGGCAATTGTGAGAAAGGCAAGCGTATGAAGTAGTAAGAGAGAAATAAGGTTAATGCATGGGTTCTGGATAGAGGAAAAATTAGAATATTGCAACTCAACTTGAGATCTTTTAAAGAATTGATGCCCTATCCAGAGGATCATAGGGCTCATGAACATAACTGACCGGACAAGGGAACTATTTTGTTTTTCATTCTCTGTGCTTTTCCTGAACTTCACTGCAATTAAAATCTATTCTACAAAGCCTCTGATGTACAGGGCCAATCCATAACTCAATTCTCTGTTTCCTATCATTGTTATTGACCAGCCACAGCCTCAGGGATTATGAGACGGACACCCTTTGGAGTATGGAATGCTGTTTATTTGCAACACTCAGGAGCCAGAGCCCTGACATCAGATATGTTTGTAAACACGACCACTATGCTGACATGGGGTGCGGGACTGTTGCTCTCTTCATTCTTCAACAGAGTTGCCTTCAAAGCACTTATTTAAAGCAATGTTAGTCATTACTATCTGTGTGAAACTTGTACAATATTGCCAAAAGCTGTATGATTGTATTTAATATCTCAGATTCATTTTAACAGCAGAGCATAACTTGGTTATCTATGTACATTGTTTGAGGACTCCCAGCTAATTGTTCATCTATAATTTAAATATAATTACTTTGATTTCAAATATTCTGCCTGCTAGTTCTTTCATTTAGTCGGGGGTGGATCACATTTGAAGTGAAACAGCTTTAGCAATAGCAACTAAGGAACACTGGCTGGGGAAGGTCAATGTTACACTATGTCAGTGACATTTCAAATCAAATTAACGTCAGGTTGGAAGCAGCAACTCCACTGAATGGAAGGGCAGGATAGGGCAAGAGAGGAAGACATTTCTTTCAACAGTAAATTGTACATCTCCAATGTACATGTAAAAAGAATAAAAGGTTTTGCTTATAGAATAGTTTGGAGGATTTGTTTGTTTGGTTTTTTTTTTACTTGTTATAGGAAGTCTTTTCTGCAACCAGGTGACTGTATGTTCTTATTCCAGTCCTGTATAAAACTGTAGCTATCTTCAGTGAAACACTGTATGATTTCAAAGTTCAAATAAGCTATTTCTGTGCATCTTTACACAGCAGAACACTAAGTGCTAGAACATAATTGCCTCTAGATTTTCTTTATATAGCATTTAATGTTCTCATTTTACTTGATAAAGAAAGGAAGTGATGCAGTTTCCATGGAGCTTATCATGTAGCACTGCATATAACCTATATCAGGTATGGGTTTTTTAATGTTTACTTCTAAATTCAATTGTTCAAAGGATGGCTTCATAGAAAGTAGTGAGTTCTTCAGGTGCGCAAAGTATCTCAATGTACGCTCTTCATTCTAAGTTATTATCACTGTTACTGACTTGAATTGTACACATACCAAGAGATCAAAGTTAATTTGCTCCATATCTCCTCATACAGGTAGGGGAGAACATGATGGGTAACAACCTCAATTTCTATACAATAGCACAGCCTTTTCCTGCTTGAAGTCCCTCGTATCTTTTTCATATTTTCCAAAAGCAACGATCTTGAAGCCAAGTCCTTCACTCTCCTTAGAAACAAAATTCTCAATGAAATTGGTTGCTGTACAGCTGTACTGCAGGGAGGCCTGGTGTATATTTTTGGAACAGGTTGTTTCACTTAGTAAGATAATCTCACCGGCACTGTGTGTGAAACAAGTGCTGCTCCCAGCTCAGTGGGAGAAAAGGACCTGTCCCTGTCTGCTCTGTTTTCCAAGAACAAATCTGGCACTTTCTGCTTGGTTGTGGGTGGAAGTGTGAATATCAAACTTCCTCACGGAAAGAGCCCTGCAATTGCTAACTGCAGAGTAAAACTGGGTGTGGGAAAGGATGAACAACTTTCTTAGATGCCAGCTGAAAGGAAATGGAAGTGTTTATACAAAAATGGAAAGTGTTTACAAGGAGAAAAAAGGTGATTAACAAAGCATTCACCACAAGTCCTTCTTTCATATCGGCCAACAGCAATTTCTTTTGCTTTGATTTTGTGCTAGTGAAAAAAGCCAAACATGTTTTCTGCCAATAGCTGTGTCTATCAAAAAAGAAGTAGCAATCACCCTTCAATTGCAGGGCAGACAGCAATGGTGGTAACAAACAAAAATTACTTCAGCCATTTCAGGTGAATCCACTCCCAGAAATGGTCTGTGTGTCTTCTACTATTTTTTAACCAAAATGATGCAAAATACAGGATAAGAGGTTTGAATTTGCAGGATTCAGGTACTAACACCAACAGAGCAAATACTGACAGAGCCAAACTGGTGTTCAGATGCGTTTACTCTAAGAGTTTCAGAACTTTTTTCTTGCTAATAATGGAGGATGCACACATCTTCCTTATGATGGGATATAGGTTTAGAAATTAGTTAATGTGTGCAAAGGCCGCTACTTGTGCAAAGATAAACATGCCTGTTTGTATAACTTCTATGGTTGTTTGCACAAACAAGTGACTATTCAATGAAACGGTGACATCTATTTGTAAAACCACCCAGTAAGTTTACAAATGCAAAAATCAAAGGAACTGTGCATTGGAATACACCAGATAAACATAAAGTTTTACCATATGTTTAATTCAGTTTTCATTACAGCTTTAATAATGCTATGGATGATAAATTTTTAACTACAAAGTTGACTTTAAAAAGACTTATATTATGAAGAAGTTTTGTATTAAGAAAAGACAACATCTACAAAAGAACCACCACAAATGTTAGAGCAGTTGTGACTATCATAAGCACTTTGTTCCTAGCATTTCCATCATGAGCAAGCTAGTTGATTATATTTTCTGCTTTATAACAGTTGTCAAATTTTACATCTGCAACTGTTTTCCCTCTGATATTCCTAGGTTAAATACATTTAGGTTTTTTCTGTGAACAGAGTAAACTGATCTATGTGTAATTAACACAATCTCTGTATGTCACTTGTTAATTCCCATACCGCTATGAGAAGGTAGCCACCACTTTGCCAACAACAACAGAAGTCCTACTGGCTGCAGATTAATCTTCCTTGGTGGTTCCTTCTTCACAGCTATCTGTGTGTCCTTATTTTGAATTGCAGAGCAGTGCAACTCCCCGTAAAGTCCAGTGATCAGGATTCTGCATTGTTTTCAGATACAAAGAGAAAATGTATGTCAGATCTGTTCTCCGAGGCTTTTTGTAGACAGGGCAGCAGTACACACTTCCTTCTTGCTTCTTTGGATCATGTAGTGCTGTTGTGCTAACAGCATACACATGGACTACAGGAAGACTTGTGAAGAGCACCTGAAAATATTAAAAGAAAGGTAGGGCTCAGCATTAGAGAAGCAGGGTATGGTGTCTGAACTCCAAACGCTAGAACTGCATTCAGTAGTAATGGCCTTCAGCAAATGCACCAGTGTCTCAGCAGAGGTACGCACAAGAACACAAGTCCTGTGCTTACTACTACATAGACCCTAACTTTAAGCCAGTGGCAGCTCAGGGAGACTGGAAGAAAAGAAAAAAAAAGCAGCAGAAACCTGGAAAACTGCATATCATGGAAGTAGATGGAAAAACAACAGGGTGGTTCTAGGAGAGGGAGAGACCTTTGGTTTTTTTCCCATCCTTTGCCCTTTTGGCTATTGTGCCCTGTTCTTTCCCCACTTCCTGTTCGCTGAATGGCAGGACTGGAGCTACACAGGGCAAGCTGTATTTAGCAAGCCTTTCTGTTAGCTCTTCGCTCCCAGCAGTAGAGCTTCAAAGATCCAAGTTGTCTCTTGGGTCCTTATCCAGACTAGAACACCTCAGATCTTCCAGCAATATAAAGTATTCATTGGCAGGGGTGAAAGACCCAAACCCAAGAATAACAATGGAGGCTCACTGAACACTCCAGAGCACTTGTATAAACTCCATGTTTGAAAGTGTCATTTGACAAACCAGGCAACAGCTGTCACCAGAAGCTACAGCTGGCAAGGTTTGTTTTGGAGAAGTTTGCTCTCAGCCAGACACAGAAGTGTTTTACCTACAGAGAGGAATTACCTCAACTCCCATTCCAGGACAGTTAACACTGGTTTGGAAAAAGTCAATGGCAGCTTTCCCTGAGCAGTGACCACAGCATCTAATCACTGCTCCATAGCCGGGTTTTCAGTCTGCCTAGTCACATCACTAAAAAGTAACTCCATGCATGGATAACTGAGCATAAGCCCAGAACTAGTACTCTTCCCCCTATTCAAGAACAAATGCCAGGGATTTCTGGTCATCCAAACACTGACCCCTGCAGCAGCTGTCATCAAACCCAGTCCTGGGCTTTGGAAGCTGTGATAGGGTCCCACTTGCTCATTCAAAAGAAGGCTGATTATGTATAGAAACAATTTTATTCAAACATAGCTTTGCTTCTGAGCCCACTGAAGCCAAGAAGCCCAGCATCTGGTCTGCTCTAGTGTGGCACATCCCGAATTCATTTTCTGACAGAAGCCTTTGCATTCAGTTCTGGTAGGTTCATCCCCTGTCCTCTTCCCAGCCTTGCTAGTGATTTAACTTCTTAAAACCTGTTGTGAAGCCACTGCTGCAGGCACTCAGCACTCTTTCTGGTATTCTCTGAGCACACCATATCATGCCACAGTCAGTCATGCTCACTTGATCCTTACCTTTGGTGCAGACTCGACCAGCTTACTGTTTCTGCGGTCCCAACCTGCTCCTTCGAGGAAAAGGCCACATATGTAAACCCCACCAATGTCAGCAGGAGGAGGGCCAGTAACATCTTCTTTCATCATCTTGGTCACTTCATTGTGTAAAACAACACTGTCAAGTGCCCACCCTTTTGCTAAATTCATGCGAGTTGTCTCTTGTCTCATAGCAGTTAGGAATCCCTAAGCAGATTGAATATGACATAGAGGGTTTTTAAAAAACTTTGAATTTATATATTTCCAACTTTTTTCCCATATAAGTGACATCAGCACTAAAAAAAACTCATCCCACAGAATCTCACGTACATATAAAAACAAATTCAGTAGTGTAAATCTAGTGCTTTCCTATACTTTCCCAGTATCATGCATTCTTATACACTTGGTGTGCATGTGTTGGTGCTAAGAAGCCACTAAGTTGGCTTATTTAACATATCAGAAGTTGCATGTATAACTCACCTTACGTGCCTACTTTACAACCAGCCAGATGAAGAGACACTTAGAAATCTGCCAGATTAATGTGTTTTGTGAGGTTCCAAATAGAGATAATTGCTAAGCCACAAATAACACTGGTATTTCATGTGCTATATTACTCACCTTTTCTTATACCAACATTGCAAAAACACTTTTCAGTGAACAAATCATGAAGCCTTTTACAGAACACAAAGGAAGTAAAAAGTGGAATCATGCAATTAAATAGTGAAATGCCTCTGTCACTTTGCTCAGTGCAAAGCCTTAACATACTACAATAGTGTGCTTTTGTAGGCACCAGCAAAATAAGCTCACAGCACTTCAGCAACACAGAATGAAGGTGACTCTCTGAAGAGCTACAATCTCACAATACGGTTACAAGTTGTCACAAGACAAGCCAGGCTGAAGATCCTGATTGGTTTCTCTCATACAGCCGACTGCCATGTGCACACACACCGCAGTCCATGGGAAGTACCTTAGACCTAAGAGACAGGAGGGTAGACTGCTTTGCACTTCCAGTGGGCGTGCTGTGGATGCACATCTTATCTTACTCTATGGAAACCCATTTGCATAGACATGGGGCAAAATAATAAAACACAGAAGTTGAAGATGCAAGAGCAACAGGCATTTACTGAGAAGGATAATAAGGAAGGAAGGAGTTTCAGGACAGATTTCAGAACAGAGAAAGAAAGTATGTGGAGATAGAGGTGGGAAATAGAGACACGTGCAGAACACAAAGGTGGGTATTGCCAACAGCACAGCTAGGACAAAATCAGGAGCAATGAGTGAATTGAACAAGCTTTTTATTTTTATTCACTTTCACAGTGCAGGATGCTCTGTTGAGCTACTGTTAGAACCACATGAATGGGGAAAAAGGCAGATGTGGAAACATTAGCACGTTGGTCTACTGACCAACCCCCAATGCAGGGGGTCAATCTCTGGCTGCTGGGACTGGAAGGCTTGCTGCGTGTGCTAATCACGTCATAGCTACACAATGCCCTTCAAATTATGAGAACGTGAGGTGACATTCATGAATTCAGATGTTTCAGTCCACTGACATTGGTTGCTTCCCATTAATATCATTCCAGAGACCCCAGGACAAGTGTTTTAAAGAGGTTTTGTGATAGCACAGATAATTGTAATTGCATTTGAAGTAGCTGAGAACTGTAGCATATAGCTAAGGGAGACAGGATTAAAGGCCAAGTTCTTTTATCAGAAATGCCATTAACTGAAAGCAGAATCCTTGTAGTTAATTTGTAGAATTTTAATTTGTAGAAACATGCTACTACCAATAGCTTAAAATACACCAAGTGTTCACTGCCAGAAGGCCCCAGAGGCTACTGGATCCCAGATAAACTGAAATATTAAAGACAGAAGAGCCTGAAGAGGACAGGACAGAGCAATGACTGTATTAAGGGAATCAGTTCAAAGGCACTGTGGAAACACTGGGATAAAAGTAAGCTCAGAGCTGTAAGTTGTCTTCAGAGATAAGATTTAGATTGCAGACTACTCTTACAGAGATGGCAGGACCTATATGCTGTCTTTAAGGGAACTTGTAACACTTCTCTGCTCATTTGAATGAATCTTAGACAGTGTTTAAAGACTACAGCTGTGAGCTGGAGCCTCAGCTGGGTGTCCCAGAGCAGGCAAATGGCACAATAAACAGCAAGAAAGATTCAAGTGGCTTGAGGTGCTGCGGTATGGCTGAGGGTTTGGCTCCCCCCAAAACTTTCTGTCAGGGACGTAATGGACCAATTGCCATGATTTTTGTTCTCATTTCTGGTAATCTTTGCCATATTTTGTTTGGTTGGTTGGTTGGGGTTGGGGTTTTCTTTTTGGAGGGACAATTCTGAGATTTCAGAAACAGGGAAAATTATTTATTCTTTCATCCCTTGCCTTTTCCTGAACTCCTCCCTGGGCTGTTCACTGAAGCCTGCTAAATCTTTGTCCCTTTGCCTTCTAACAGAAGGCAACTAACTAACTATGAACTTTGTAGTGGGTGAGAAGTAAGCATCCATGGAGGCTATGAAGTATGGAAATCATTAAAGTCTATTGGTTTCACAATCATATTCTCTCCTTTACCTTGCCTAGCAGGTTCCTTGTTTGTTGCTTACTTTGCAATTTCTACAGTGAGCAAATTAAGGCAGGTTTACTAGAACTAAGTGGGCACTGAGGAGTGGAGACATTGTACTTCATACTCTTATTAGTATTCACATTGCTTTGGCTTCTAAGGGTCTTAGAAATGACTGAGAGTTCATCATACTAAGTACTATACAATCAGAAATATAGTTCTACCTCACAGGGCTTAAAATCCATATAAAGGACAAGCGGCAGCAACTGGATACAGAGATGCAAATAAGGAAACAATAAAAGAGTATCAGCCACAATATGGAAGTTGGGAAACAGAATTGAGACACGTATAGTGTCAGGTTTTCTGCAGAAAGCATCCAGTGACATCAGATTAACTTCCAGGAGAGAAAAAAAATCATGGCATTTCTTGTTTTGTTAACCCCAGTTATCTTGGCCCAATGCAGACACACATGGGAAATCAGGTTTCTTTCATGTAGAAGCCTGAGCCTGCTCTCATTTGTATCACTATAAACGAAGATTAACTTCTGGGAAATTACTGAATTTATGCTAGTGCATAAACAGTCCAAGAGAAGGCAGAGTCAGGTCTTATATTTTTTATTGCCAGAATGCCTCATTCTCACAGTGTCATAAATCTACTTTATTGTCTTGTGTTACCCATGGCATTCATCCATTGACTATAAAGCAAACAGTGAGATCTGCGGAAGCAGGCAAATTACAAACTACTTAGGAGCTGCATTTTATCTCACAAATAAAAGGATTTTTCTGACAATTTCTCAGGTGTTACAAACAACCCATTAGAACTGCAGCACTAATACTTCATCACCTCAACTTGCTTGAGAAGATGAAAATCAATTAATTAATTAATATAAAATAAATTAATATAATAATAGTTCATTAAATAGAAAAGGAGTCTTTGCTTAGGTGAATTTCTTGTAGAATGAGCCACTCCCACACCTAGGATACAGAAAATAGAGATTATAATAATAACCACCTGATTCCCTTAGCTTGTGATTGTCAGCACAAATAAAATTTTAGATCAGGTAAGCACATCTCTTTCAGGGTTGTTTTTTTTCTCTGCACATTATGTATTTAGGGACTTTTAGAACTACATGTTATTAAGTGTTTAATTTTTGTATTTCTGAAGACCTTCTCACTTACTATGGTCTATTAAAACACAACTTGTTTGGTGACAATTTATTCTGATTATTTGGCAGCTGTTTTGGGACATCCAGATGTATAGAACCAAAAAAATGTAGGATGCCCAATTTGGGCTGGAAAAATTTAAGAACTGACACAACTCCAAAGAACAAAAAAGACAGCTAAAGTGGCCAGTACAAAATCTGTATCAGATCTTGCTCATCTGTAGTGCAAAAGCAGACACTAACAAAACCAAAAGCCTATTAGGGTTGTATCCAGCCTGATCATTGCAAAAATGACTTATAAATATTTTAGAGTGCCACTATCAAAGCATGTGTGTATGCATGATCATTTTATTAAAACTCCTTCTCCTCTCCTTCATACTTTTGCTTGGGAACCCTTTGCTCAGGGATTCTGTGAGCACACTTCTATGTTATAAAGTGGTAACAGCAGACAACTGACACAGGCGGGATAGATGATAGATGGACATTTCCCAGCAGTAGTCCTAGAGAATATTTGCCACTGTTGCTTTCTCTATTCTAGGCAGCTGTTTCAGCTAGCTTTTGCATTGCTAACAAGTACTGAGATTAAAATAGATCTTTAAAATCGCTTTTTGCTAAGACTTCACAGAAACCTGTTGGCTGGATACTCTCACAATGACTCACTTCCACAACTCGCACTTCCCACAAACATCTGTGAATCATAAAAAGGTTTAATGAATGTGGATAGCTGTGCAAAGAAATTACATCTCATCTAGGTATGTATACTTTATTTCTTTTAACTCTGTTCTCAGCTGTTCCCTTTTTTCTGTTTCATTTTGTGCCAGGTTTTTATTTTAGATCATTGCAGGCGAGAGGCTGTATTTTTTAATATCTCTCTGCAGACTAAGTCTGGCACAATTCTGGGGTGGTATAAATAACAAACCTTCCTTTTCAAGGGACTGATCTGCAAGGATTGAGAGCCAAGTCCAAATCTCTTCTTCCTATGTCCAAGTTTTGAAACTTACCTTGTTTTGTACTCAAAAGAATCTTCATAAAACGAATGAAAAAGAGATTACAGAGAAGGGGAAAATGGAGGCTAACACTGAAACGTGGAAAGATGTATTTACCCAATTTCCACACTATAATTAAAGCCACCAGAAGATGCATTCTATTACTTCACTAACTTTATTTTGGTCTAGCAAATTTTTCTTGAATAGATATTGAAGTTACTTTAACGTACATTTATGCAAAAAATTGAATTTAGACTATATTATAATCACGATTGAGTCCAGTTGACGTTCTCTCAAGGTCTAATTTAACTGTTACATAGGAATTAGAAAAATCAATCTGGCAATCTTACCTGTGGATTAAAGAACCCTGTCATCCAGAACTGGTTTGGTCGTCCATCCTGCAGCCAACTGCTGAACTGTTGGTTTCTTTCAAGAAGCTCAGTAAACCAAAATCCTAAAGTAGCTGACTCCCAAGAAATCCTAAACCATAGTTTTGGAATTCTAGCATCATACATGTTATCTAAAGCATCTTGCAGTTCTTCTGACATAATTATGGTTCCTGGAAGATAAGTAAAACATTCAGAATGAACTTTCCCCTAGCTTGCAAAGGCAATTAAAACTTCCAAATGACATTCTGAGTCTAATAAACTCTCTTTTGTTGTGCCTTAATTGCACATCTGTTGCACTGAAGTCTTATCAGTTTGCAGTTAATTTGCTCAAACTTATAAGACTTAATTCAAAGCTAAAGGTGACAAGATAAATGATATTTCTTCTTCTGTTTTGATCAGAAATTTAAAACAATTTAAACAACTCTTTCTCCCTACACACAATATTTATACTCTCTGTATTCACTGTGTTTAGAATGTGATTAATCATTTAAAACTTTCTAATATATTGTAATGGTTCCTACATACATGATCAATGATAGAGATATACTGTGTAACTCATCTATATCCTAAGCATATATTCATTAAATTCACTGTTATTAATGATAGCTTTGTACATTTCCTTTATCAAGATTCTCAGTGGGAAAGAAGTACGTACAATAAAGCTAGAGGCAAGGTTTTTTTTTTCAGTGACAGTGCATACTCACTTATTCCATGCATAGTACTGTTGCCTTCATTAAAATATTGGCATTTATTCAGACAGTGAATTTTCAGTGACACCATTCCATGTGCCAGAAGTTCCTACATCTTATCAGTTTGTACTGTCAATAGCACTGAGAGCTGGCACATAGCTATGCCTCAGGGTATCTCCTCTATTCCAGCTAAAAATATTTTAAATTATAGAAACTGGTCCGGTAGTCCCCATTCTGGTTAAATGTTCTTGTAATACCAATGTTCAATGTCTCAACATACACACAACTGCTGTAACTGCCACAAGGCGTACATGAAATACCAAACAGAATTAGGTGGCTTCCACCACAGACAATGGAAAGGAACAAGAAGTGACCTGGGTGACTGCTAACAGGAATCGCAGTGGCCCATCCAAACATACCTGTATGGAAATGTGGCCTGTAATAAGTAAGCATTTCAAATCCCTTCACTCATTGAGGTTGGCAGATCTCCAGGTCAGGGAAAGGAGAAGAATATCCAGAAACCAAACACCAGTTTTTAATTTAGAAGAACACAGCGGCCAAACTAAACACTTGTGTAACAGTGTGTGAAAATCTGGTACTTTCTACTACATAGCAATGACAAATGAACTTCAATTTCTTCTGGCAGATAATGACCTGCTTTCATTTATGTGTTCCTCCTTTTGTGCAACAAATGCTAAAATCATCATAATTATAAAATCATCAACTTTTACAAAACTGCAAATATTAAAAAATACTGCCGATGTCCCATTCCCTGTAATGGCTTCATAGTCAGGTTCAGAATCAAGTTTAGGGACAGCTAAGAGTCTATAACACAATTAATAAACATTCTCTCAGGGTATAAATCTTCTCTAATATATAACCATGAGCACAACATTTAAGAAAGAAGCCACTCTGTCATTTCCCCTTTGCCTAGAAAAATGCAATATTAAACCATACACTCTCTGGAGACAGAAAAAGTGAAAAAAATTCGTGCAACACATGTTGGTTTCAACTTTGGAGCAACTGTAGTCAGGGCAGAGAACAAGTGAAGAGCATCCTGTTTGAGTCCTGCAGATCACTACCATCTGAACTAAGAAAGAAATAACTCTTTCATCTCTGGTCCGTCCTTTTCAGGCCAACTTTCTTCTGCAACAAGGTTTGTGAGAGAGCCATATTTCCTTCTCTATCCTTGAGGGGAGGCTGGAGCTTTTCAAATAGGGAGATATAACCAGCCTCTGCCCTGAAGCATGGTGAAATCTCTTAGGAAGTCTGCCCGTTATGACTCAGAACAGCTGCTGAGGAGACTAAGCCAGAGAATTCTTGAGGATGAGCTATGTTCACAGTTCTGGCCTTGCCCATAGAGCTGCATAAATATTCCTAGTGAGTGGGTGTCATCTCTGGCAGTAGGCATACAGTGCTTGAATTTCAGCACTGAATGAGATCTGTGGGTGTTGGGA